TATCTTAGGTGGTATGTGGAAAAGGTGCTGTTGTCTTTATCATCTCTTCACAGGATGCACTTCTTGCCCAGATGCCTCCTTTGGAGTTTCCAGAGCACAAGGTCTGGCCAGGACAGTGGGTGTTGATCAAAGCCTAGAAGGAGGGGCCACTGAAACCACACTGCGAAGGCCCTTTCCAAGGGCTCCTAACACTGAGACTGCTGTCCAGATGGCTAAGAGAGGCTGGAGCCAGCACACCAGAGTGAAAGGGGTCTTCCCTAAACGCATGGACGGAAATGGGGGGGGGGGTTCTTGAAGCTGCTTCTCTGGCTGTCACTGTGTACTCCTGTAAATTTTGTTACTTCCTCCTACACCACATGTCCTTGTAGAAAGAGAACAGTGGAATGCCCCATATCTGAGCTTTTCAGTTTTAGAGTACTGGCTCAGTGTGCAATAGAATGCTTCTGCTTCAGTAGTACTGGTGAAAACCCGGCATGGATTTCTTACACCTGGAAAATGTTCTATGTCTGGATTCCAACCAAGGACCAGATAAAACTGACATGCAGATTACAGAAGGGCAGGCACATGTTGTCCCAGATAAGGCAAAGGAGAGTAAAAGGAAATAATTCATTTTTGGCTTAAATATGATTTTTTTAGTTCCCTAGGGAAAAACAATCTTCCATGTGAGGCCACTCCAAGCAGGGACCACTAAGACAGATTACTAGTTTGGGGGTGGGGGTGGTTGATGGTGGACTGGCAGTATCTCTACAGCACCCAGGAGAGCAACAGCCAATCGGCACAAGCTGGATTAGGCCCCTGTGTGAAGGAGTTTGGAGATGCTTGATTTATAGCTGTGTGACAGCTAGTATGCGGTGGTAGCCTTGCTAAGCTGGAAAGGCTCTGGTCTGCAGCTGGATGGGCAACTGCATGTGGATGCTGCCTGCTATGCATTTTTCACACAAACAGGGCTGGTGAGTGCCACTTGGTACAACCTGGAATGTACACTACGGGTGCAAGAGGATTTAGCACTGAGTAAAGAGGTGGAAGTCAGCAAATATGTCTAGCTCAATGACCCACATTGGAAATAGTTGGCAAACACAAAATTCCATAGGAAAAATCCACTACAGGAGACCTGTGAACACAGTTTCACAACATGGATACAGAGGAAGCACAAATATTTTGAGGGTTGACTTTCAAACTTGGAAACTACCACTGAGCAGGTAGTTGACTTCAGTTGACCCATGTACCTGTAAAAAATGGACTGGATGGTCATGGGAATGGTTGGCTAATTGGCCTCCAACTTGGGATGGCTAAGATAGTTGTATATACTTATTATAGGATAGTAGGGATTACTTGTTGTATCCATATGCAATGGTTACCAGCTGGTTTGCAATGCTGCAAAGCTATGCTTCCCCAAACCTAATAATGAGGAAAAGGTAAGATTCATATTAGTACATAGGAGCACAAGAGAAATAATGGAATAGTGTTTCTCACTGAAGGAAGTAACTCAGTGATTGAGAAACAGTGAGGCAAACAACCAAGCCATGAAACCTGTCCAAAGGAATGTGGAAGGGAGAAAAAGATAACTGGGTGGAAGAAAGAAGGCTACCTTCTATCTCATACTCCCAGTAGTTTTATGAGACGGGGTTGTAGGGCAAGGTGAAGCCAGAAAGGAGTGAACTAGTGAACTTGTAGTTATGAACATGCAGACGTAATAGGTTGATGAATATTATCTCACACACCTCGAATAGACAATGGGCTGATTATCAGTGCTTTTGTAAAAAAAAAAAAAAAAGTGCCGGAACTCACATCGCTGCACACATTGCCACTGGCACTAAGCACTCAGCGTGCAACCACACACACCAATCCCAAGCCAAGCAGCAGACACAAAAGCAGCCCGCAGGCACTATGTTAATGATGTTTGCTGCTGATCTGCTACACTTCGTAAAATCCATTGGTAAAAAAGGTGCTGGAACGCCGTTCCAGTGCGTTCTATGACAAAAAAAGCCCTGCTTATTATAATGCACATGTGATGTACGTAGATGTATGTAGTGAGATGAGATGGGAGATATGAAGTAGGTGGATGGAAAGACTGTGCCCCCTTAGTACCTCATCCAGTGAGGGAATTGGGGAGGGCTATGGCAGCCGAGTTAGGGTACAAAAGGAGATATTTGTGTGTTTGCGCTTTGGGGAGGATTCTGATAGAGCAGGCTCTCCCCGTCTATTGCAATAAATGAAGGAATCGCCTCACTCTGATGGTAGTCTTGGTTATTTAATCTGAGGAGAAGTATTTTCGCTGCTTTTTGCATAGCAAAGCCAAGATATTAAACTAACTTCAAACAGTTGATTAATAAGCTGTTTTCTTCCAAGGGTGCTAACAAATCATTCCCCTTAAAAAACAGGAAAATAAGAATACTTAGAGGGTTTCTGGTGAAAGGACTGTAGGCACAAGCATAAAGCTTACTCATATCAGCATATTAAGCTGAGATATTACTGGAACACAGTAAGTGACTATTATTAAAACTGACTTGTATGCATAAATTACTGACTCTTGCACTGTTTGTTTGTCAGAAGTTTGTTGGTTAATTTCAATACTTCTATAAATCCTCGATGGGCATATACTTCAGCATTTTCTCTTTCCTTCTATCTTTTTCTTTATACTGATTTTCTTTTATTTTTCTCCCTTTTTAATTTACTTTTTCCTCATAAGCTGTTATGGAAAGTTGTGGAGGAGATGTGGGATTCTGTTGCTTTTATTTTTTTACATTTGCAGAATTCAGTGCAGAATAAAACTGCATTTTTAAAAAGATGGATCTATCCAAAATCTGAAAGAAATAACAATATATTAACTTAACTGTATTATTATTAACTGTATAAGAGCAGCATAAAAGTGAAAATGGAACAATTCCAACAAAAGGAAAGAATTTTCTTTCTGTAAAAGAAAGTGAAGAATTAAAACATACTTTAAGGGTGTGGTACTACTGCTGCCTCAGCAGATGCTCGTAAGCCCTAAACGTGGAAGCATATGAGCATCCAAGGGCAGAAGCAATACTTAGTGCTGATCTCCATGGCTACCACACATTGCATTATCTCTAGAGGGCCATTTTCAGTTTCTAGATTTAGTGCTGAAGAAGGAACAAGGCTAGTGTTGGGAGTGAAAAAGGTGGCTGCTTGGGTGTTCATTTTCAAGTGCTGCTGGCTGGGCTGCAGAGAATCAGAATCGGAGTGTGAAGCAGACTGGGGAGAGCCTGGGAATGTGGGCCAAGCCAAGACTCTGAGATGGGAGAAGCAGAGATGCTTATCTCACGGTCAGACTCCCCAGGTGTACTGGAAGCCTCTGGGAACAACCAAGGTGTACAGCTAGCAGGAGGGGACGTGGAACAAAGAGTTTCTCAGACTCAGACAAGCTGCATATCATACTTGACCCCATGACACATTGCCAGCAGAGGAGGGAAGCTCAGTTAGAGGATCAGCACATGGAAAGCAACCAATTTTTATCTTCATTAAAGGTGCTATCTTATGGAGATGGGCACAACTCCCAAATTCAGAAGATTTCTCTGGAAAAGAATGTCTAGTGATGGAATTTCTTGTTATCTTGGCCTTCCAAGACTCCTCTACTCCTTACCCCTGAAAACACCCCCTTCTACACCTCTTTGACATCACTTTCCTAATCCCAGATTACAGACAGCAAGGTTTGTTCTTTCTCAACTGGAAGAAGACAGAGTGGAGCAGAGCTCTGATTCCCAGATCTTAATCAGGGCATGCTTTCTGTCCTCAGATCTGTGATAATTAATAATACAACCCTATAGCTTCTCAGCCAAGGTTCAGATCACTGTCCTATAGAGGAAACGATCCCCACCTTCTCCTCAGATCCATTCCATCCCAACCCTTGGAAATCAAATCTTGCTTCTTTAGGTGTAGCACCAGCATGTGCTGCAGTTCATGAGGCAGGGACTCAGTGAGAGTCCACACCTATTCCATCATGGTGCTGTGCAGGTTGTTCTCCAGTACAAGCTTCTTGGTTGGGTCACTGGAATTCAGCCTACATGCAACTGCCCCAGAAGACAGTCCAGAAGCTTCTACTAGACCGGAATGTACATTTCTTGATGAGTGTAGATCCCTGTGAATGTGGAACTTTTAATTTTGTGTCAGCTTAGTTACCCATGTGTTTCTAGACCTAACAATGTGCAAGTTTTGACCATTATTTTCCTAATTGGTTTGAATGCGAAATATTGTAACCAGGGCCTAATAATATTATTATGATTGCTAATCATTGCCATCATATCCCTTTGGGTTTCATGCTTGCTACGGAGGCCCTGCACGAGCTATCACTATTTAAAAGTCTGATTGTTTTTCCCTTATGGTGTACAGAGAGCTATTTTGGTGTGTTGGGAGGTGTTGCACTTGAACCCTGGGAGATCTGGGTTCTAGTTTCCATTCAGCCATGAAGCTCACTGGATGACTTTGGGATAGTCACTGTCAGATTCTCTTTACTAATAGCGAGAATGAATACCAGAACCCACAGAGAAGATTGAATTGCCTTGAACTCCAGCATTTTTATTGGTGAGATCACCCAGGTCCCCTGCAATTACTTATGACAGCATGCTACCAGGTAGTGGTAGCTGTGCAGATGTTACATTGTTTTAAAATATTTTTCTGTGAAGTGCCAGATGTACTTCCCCAATGAGTAAATTCAGGATTTTCACAAACAGGTTACCGAGGTTGCACATAAAGCTCTCTAGACCTAATTGCCGTTCGAGTCCTTGTGCAGGTCAACTCGGAAAAAAGTGAGGCTGCATTCGGTGCCGGTCGTTTCAGGATTGTAGCCAGGACTATAACTCATTGCACACCGTTGTTGAAATCCACGGCAGGCTGACCATGGGACTTATTACGAGGGAGCAGGTCTACCGGCTTCTCAAAAAAGACACAAGCCTGGAGCGCTGCCGGAGCACTTTCTCCCCTCCCGTGAGCAAGGCAGGGCTCTTTCCCTTTAAGGGGAGTCCATGCACCCAGCATGCCTTGGTGTCGCTTGGGCTGTTCCCACCCAGGCGCCCGAGCCAGTCGAGCTGCGTGAGCAGGAGCAGCGAGTGGAGGCGGCGGCATGGAGGGCGCGTGCTCGGGCGATTACCAGACGTTCGTGGCCCTGCACGGACCGGCGCTCAGCGCCTCGGGGGTCCCGCCCTGCTACTGGAAAAGCCTGTGGCACAAACTGGAAAACGAGGTGGGTGCTCGAGGCTGCTCGGCCCCGGCCTGGCCAGGAGTCTCTGGCTGCTTCGAGAAGGCTCGCGACGCGACGCACGCCTAGCGCCTCCCTGGCGCGGTGCTCCTTGACCGGAGGCGCCGCCAACTTTCTGGCGTTTCGGGCAGCCTTGCGGTGCGAGGAACGAGCCCGCGCTTACTTTACCATGCGCTCCAGCGAGCGCAAACCGGAACTTGATCTCGAGTAAGCCTGAGCGGGATTGGGTTGGGCTCGGCACCCAGTCTTGCCTCCGTTTACTGGGGAATTTGATGGGAACTGCTCCCAAGGCACTGTTCTTATAGGGTCGTGATCCTAATTGGGTTCACTCAGCGCGAGTCCCGCCGACTGAGTGGTAGCCCTGGACTATACTCCCTTGAGCACCTTCATTGTGAGAGGAGGGGTGATCCCGTTTCATTAGCTAAACTTGCTTCGGCGTAAGAGATTGGGGTGCACATTCAGCCCCACTTCTTGCAGTTAAGTGTCAACCAATAGGAGAAAGACCCATGGGTTTACTTCCTAGTGGGAATGCTTAGCACTGTCATCTTGATCCAGAATCCTTGTGTTGTTCCATGCTGCCTTCCGGAAGAGGAAATTTTGTCCGCTTCCAAGAGGTTTCCCAAACACTGTTTTATGTGTATCTATCCAACCATTCATCCATATATTAGACTGATTCTCAGTAACTAACTTGGGGGAGGCTTTGTACTGAGGCAGGAAAGGGCTCTGGTGTTTCGCTGTAAAGGCTGGTTTTGTTTTGAGGGCTTGGTCTTTTAGGCCTTTAAAAGTGCTCAGATTTAAAGGTAACATAAGTCAAGGAAAGGGAAGAAGAGCTGAGCGATGCAAAGAGGAGACACTGAAAGATTACATTCTGGTTGGGAATAATGTTTCAAGAAAAAGACATTTGATATCTGTGCACAACTTCTCTTTTAATTGCTGTGCAAATATTTCACATAATTGTAATAATGGAAGAAAAAGCCTGTTTAAGAAGCAGTTAGTAGTTTATTTGATAAAACACATCCTCTGAGTGGGCCTAAGTCAGGAAAGAGAGTAGTCCAAGAATAAGTATGACAAACATTGTAAATACTTTTTCTTCCACAGTAATGAAGCCTGGAAAGTATTTGGTTTGAAACAGTTTTGCAAGTTATGGCTTGCACTACTTATGATGTGATGCCTCAATTGACATATCATAGTTATAGCCATTCCTCATTTTGTATAAACCATAGCATCATGGAGATCAAAATAAATCTTTGCTAAAACAGATCCCTGATGAGTATTCATCTGGAAATACAGTAATATTTAGTGCATGATTAAAGTGATGAAGCGACTAGAACTGAGGAGATAATTCCATACTCTGGACCCATTTATTTATTTAGTGCATTTACATCTTGGATTTCTTCCATCATGGAACTCAGGATTTTGCACATTAGAGTTTCGAGTTCTCTTTGTCTGGGACACTGACTACACTAGATCTACCTCACCCTCTTCCAGGTTGTTGAATCCTCTGCCCTAGACTGTGCTCACCTTCCTCATCCCCTACTGGTCAGCTCCTAGGGGAAGTGCCCTCAAAAGTTTTGCAAAGCTCTCAAGCAGGCCCTGGGAAGAGAAAATCCCTCAGACCCTCTTTCTTTCCTGCCATGTGAGTTTTAAAAGCCAAATCTTGTACCTTAAATGGAGCCCTGAAACAAATTGAATAATAGCAAAACTGCCATAAAACTGCCTTTTTTTTTTTTTTTTGCTCTGTCCTGCTAGTCCTAGACACCAATCTGGCAGCAGTGATTGCACCAGTGGGCATTTCAGGACTGCCTTCATATGCAACCTACCTGGAGTACATTACAGTAGTCCAGTTACTATGGCATGAATGACTATGGCCAGATCTGAATTCCCTAGTAAAATGCATAGTTAGTGAGTCAAAAAAGCCATTTGGAGCTACCTTGTCTTATCTCCACACTGCTAAGCTTTGGCTATTGGGTAGTATAGACACTAAATACATAAACCTCTTTCTTCAAAAAGAGTAAACACCTGATGTAATCAGCAGTATTTCTGACTTGCTTGGGTTAAGTTTCTGTTGATTCTCATCCATTCCAAATAACCCAAATCAGAACGTTTACCCCATCCCCAGGAAATGAGAGGGAGGAAAGCTGGGTATATAATGGTAACCTCCCACCTCAAATATTCAGTCAATTGCCACCATTGGTTTCATACAACCATTTCCTGCAGCAGCAAGCCTCTGATCACGAACAGGACTGAGTGGGGAAATGACCACAATCCCAGTTGATTTCGTGCAGGGAAGGCATGTGTGATCAGAGGCACGCTGCTGCAGGAAAGACAGGAGCAGCAAAGCAGAGCCGCGGGGAAGATGGCCGAGATTCCGCCTGTCTTTCCTGCAGGAGAGCGCCTCTGATCAGGCCCGCCTTCCCTGCACGAACGGAACTGCGATCACCGCCATCTCTCTGCCCCCAACACACCGTTTGCACCCATCTCTCGCTCCCCCAGTGCACGCACGATCATGCCTGTCTCTCCCACCCCCCACCCCCCGGTGTGCTGGGATGATGGGCACCTGCAGGGATGACAGACACATGCAGGGATGACAGACGTGATCTCGGTCATGCTGGCAGGGGGGTGCGAGGTCTTTGCTTCACATTTTTCTGATATAAAAAATGGTTACAGAATGGATTAACCTTATTTACATTGAACCTTATGGGGAAATTTAACTTGGCTCACAACCACTTTGGATCACAACCAGAGTCCTGGAATGGATTAAGTTCATGAGCCAAGGTACCACTATATATAGGCTGCCTATGATGGCTGAGGCCTTCCTAGGCGGCTTACAATATATTAAGCATATGAAAACATAATAAAACATATTAAAACCCCATTAAAATACTAACAAATTAAAACATCTATAACAGCATAAAAAGGGCCACAGCATTCAGGGGCTAAGCGTTAATTTTTTTTTTTTCTAAAAAGGTATGTGTTCACCTGGCACTGAAAAGTGCCAGGTGAATTTCGCTAGGGAGGGAGTTCCAGAGATGGGGAGCAGCAGCAGGAAAGGCCCTTCATCTCCCTGAGGGCTGGCTCTCATTGAAGGGCCTCCTGGGCTGATATGAGGGGGCAGGTAGGTATATATGGGTGTAGACGGTCCTTCAGATAGTTGGGCCCCAAGCCATTTAGGGCTTGTTATGACCAAACAAGCACCTTGAATTGAGGCTGGGCTACCACCAATAAACAGTGATCTTCTTTCAGAACTGGTGTTATATAGGCCGCTCTAGAAGTACCAGTCACCAACTGAGTGGCCTGATTCTGCACCAATTGTAATCAAGGGCAGCCCCACATAGAGCACATTACAATAATCTATTTTGTAAGTTACCAGAGCATGGGTAACTATACAGTATATCACAGAAGTGAGTACACCCCTCACATTTTGTAAATATTTTATTATATCTTTTCATGTGACAACCCTAAAGAAATGACACTTTGCTACAATGTAAAGTAGTGAGTATACAGCTTGTATAACAGTGTAAATTTGCTGTCCCCTCAAAATAACTCAACACACAGCCATCAATGTCTAAACCGCTGGCTACAAAAGTGAGAACACCCCTAAGTGAAACTGTCCAAATTGGGCATAATTAGCCATTTTCCCTCCCCGGTGTCATGTGACTTGTTAGTGTTACAAAGTCTCAGGTGTGAATGGGGAGCAGGTGTGTTAAATTTGGTGTTATCGCTCTCACTCATACCGGTCACTGGAAGTTCAACCTGGCACCTCATGGCAAAGAACTCTCTGAGGATCTGAAAAAAAGAATTGCTGCTCTACATAAACATGGCCTAGGCTATAAGAAGACTGCCAAGACCCTGAAACTGAGCTGCAGCACAGTGGCCAAGACCATACAGTGGTTTAACAGGACAGGTTCCACTCAGAACAGGCCTTGCTATGGTCGACCAAAGAAGCTGAGTGCACGTGCTCAGTGTCATATCCAGAGGTTGGCTTTGGGAAATAGACGTATGAGTGCTGCCAGCATTGCTGCAGAGGATGAAGGGGTGGTGGGTCAGCCTGTCAGTGCTCAGACCATATGCTGCACACTGCATCAAATTGGTCTGCAGGGCTGTTGTTCCAGAAGGAAGCCTCTTCTAAAGATGATGCACAAGAAAGCCCGCAAACAGTTTGCTGAGGACAAGCAGACTAAGGACGTGGATTAGTGGAACCATGTCCTGTGGTCTGATGAGACCAAGATAAGCTTATTTGGTTCAGATGGTGTCAAGTGTGTGTGGTAACAACCAGGTGAGGAGTACAAAAACACGTGTGTCTTGCCTACAGTCAAGCATGGTGGTGGGAGTGTCATGGTCTGGGGCTGCATGAGTGCTGCCGGCACTGGGGAGCTACAGTTCATTGAGGGAACCATGAATGCCAACATGTACTGTGACATACTGAAGCAGAGCATGATCCCCTCCCTTCGGAGACTGGGCCGCAGGGCAGTATTCCAACATGTTAACGACCCCAAACACACCTCCAAGACGACCGCTGCCTTGCTAAAGAAGCTGAGGGTAAAGGTGATGGACTGGCCAAGCATGTCTCCAGACCTAAACCCTATCGAGCATCTATGGGGCATCCTGA